AATTAATAATATATATATATATATATATATATATATATATATATATATGTGTGTGTGTGTATTACTTTGTATAAGGAAATTTAATATTCTTTACTTCTTAGTTCAATTTTATTTAAAAAATTATAACAATATTGCCGACATTGATAATAATTAAATATTTTTATCCAATATATTGTTTCTATTTAGGTTTTTTGATTTGGCTATAAAATCGATACATGTTATTTAAAATTTCCCGACCGGTTTCTTCTTTCACATCACGATATGTTTCCCGAATGGAATATCGAACGTGTCTTCGAGAATGATATTAATACCGCATACAGACATTACCGTGAAATTCGATCAAGCGGAGCGGCGATGATTGACGTCACGACTCTATCGTCGGAATGCAATTAATATTGCATAAATGAGACCACCCCGCGAACTTGTATCAATTAGCACAGTTCTCGTTGTATACGGCGGATCCGCCTGTAATTCGCATATAATCACGCGGAAAACTTTTACTTCCCCTGTATGGGAAAATTACGTTTGAACGCGCACCGTCCGATATACCGTGTCGCGATCGACATGCCTTTACGCGCTCCGTAAAATATACGTTTACCTGCTATACACAGTTAATGTAAGGACATTAAGCGCCTGCTGGTATAACCAACGAGCTCAACGTGTGAATAAGTAATGCAGCGCCACGATCTAAAAACCTTCTTTTCTAAATTGACGTAAGTCGACGCGAGCTCGTTGTCGATGAGGAGGACTTACAGCGCCGTCCGATATCCGCGAGTGCAGCAGCAGCAGCAGAAGCAACTTTATTTTATCATTTGCCGATAGGGAGAGAGAGAGAGAAAGAGAGAGAAAGAGAGAGTACGTTACGTCGTCTGAATAATAAATGTTCGATGCGAGCCATCGCATCGATACCTCTCACATACCTCGTACATACGAGCTCGCCTCGCTTTTCAGCGAAAACGCGACGCGAAGCTAAACTCGCGTATGGAGTGTTACTCTACTCATCGCGAGAAGAAACTTTCGCTCGCCAACTGTCCGTTCTTCGTTTAGCCTATGATTATCCTGGACTTGGTATCCACCTGTCATTACGATACATTGTGGCGACACCCATCGAGTTTCGTGCACCGCTGCGGAAGGGAAATATTTGCCGCGTACTTCCTGATTATATGCCTCCTCGGGTAATCACGAATCATGCGAGGAAGAAATGCCTACATTGTAATGTGTAATGCTAAGCTACTTCCTTTAACTCTTTTAACAATTTCCTCGTAAATATCCTCGAATACCCGATCATATATGAGCGCATCACAATAATGTCGTAACATTTGGTTGATGAACCTGACTTTCGACACAATTGAATCAAATTTAAATTTTCCGTCGAACCTAAGAGCCAGTTTCGTTTAAGTGATAATCGAGTGATAACCGATTAAAGTTACAATTACGCTGAAAAAAATGCTTAGATAAAAATGGAAAATCTTAATAATTTAAATGCAAGAAAATAATTTTTATGTCCATATTATAGTATAATGGAAATTTAATAATAGAGAAATGCGATGGTTGAAATATATTTTTCCGTATGTATAGCATCGAGAGTAGCTCGAAGTTATACATGGTTTCAATCTCTATATCTAAGTGAATTATTAAAAACTCGCTATACGCTCGTACGAGTTTATTTTCTCACAGAAGGTCTGGAAATATAAGCCCGATCATTGCTCGCGTCGCGTAACATGACAAGATTGTAATTAAAATGGTAATCACCAGTTCGATAAAATGCCATCTCCATTACAAAGCGGCCAACTACCGAGAAAATATTAATCTACATCCTTGAGCGTTTCTATGTTTTATAAAAATAATGAAGGTGCTCTGGTGGATGGTTTCCTTTCGGATGCCGTTTCATTGTAATAACTGCGGAATAAGAGGGCAGTAATTACTTTTCGTGAGACTGTCACGTTTGTCCGGCTCGCCCTCCGTGTACCCCGTACTTCGGTTATTACTAACAATGAATAGCAGTGACCGTGTTAACCCCTCTTATGACAATTCATGATACGCAGTGCTTTGTAGAAAATAACGTTTGATGGTATATGTGCACTGTAATAATAATAATAATAATAATAATAATATTCACGGCAATATACGCCATCACATTGTCAAGCCTTTTTTCAAATTACATATTTTCAATAATTAAACTAAACTACATTTGTTATTAAAGGTATTAATTGATTAAATTATAACAATCATTACGTAAATTATAATGAATAAAATTTTAGAAAGATCCCTTTGTCATTATTATTTTACCAATATTATCAGATTTATCGTAAATATAATCATGAATAATATCTACATTGAGGGTTCTTGGTCACGGTATAATAATTTCTGTTGAAATGTTTTATATTTGTGAAAATTATTATCTCGCGGATGTTAAAAACGTCGTTATCAAAAGACTTATACTAGACTACCAAACGACAAAGGTATCGTAGATCTCGGTGGTCGTGAAACTGGTCGGCGTTAGGCAGTCTAGATATATCGAGGCGCGAGAGAAGGGTCTTCCTCCAGGTTCTACGGCTTCGATCCAGACGGGGACGACCTCTCCCTCGCCGGAGGAAGGAAGGAAGGACGGACGGAAAGACTCGAGCTAGAAAGGCCTGAGAGAGAAAGAGAAAGAGAGAGAGAGAGAGAGAGAGAGAGAGAGAGAGAGAGAGGAGGAGGAGG